CGCCATGGGTCAAGATCAAGGCAAGGGCAGTTAACAACAACAAAAAAAGGGAAGAATGATATAGGAAGGGAGTGACTGAAAGGTTGAAAGGCATGAAAGAGGAGGGTAAGTCCTTTACATAATGAGGAAGTATTAATGCAGAAAGTAACAGTGTGTAAAGATGTTTTCTTTGCGTTAAGATCGTGTTATACTTCTTATTTCTTAAAAACAAGTGTTTCCTATAGTGTGGTATATATACATTTGAATAAAGATACTTTTTTTTTTTTTAAAAAAAAAGGTTCCTTTGAGACTATGCGAAAGGTGTTTTTTTCCTGGTTTATGTTTTTAACTGATTTAAATTTTATTATGGTTTAATAGCTTTTGAGCTTTTGTATGCTGGGAACTTTAAACTACAAATGGACGGACCTATTGTTGCATTTTTATTGTGTTGGATATTTTTTTAATATTTTTTTTTAAAACCACATGTTGTATGGACCCATTCTGTCAACTATTTTATATCTATTTTTTTCATTTGTTTTAACACAATAATTTACCCAATACCTATAATATCTGACATTCTGTTTAATGTTTTTTTTTCTTCCATTATTTGCAAGACTGATGTTTCTAGTAGCTATTTTTACAAAATGTTTCTTACTGTGATTACATGATTTTCTATGTACACCATCTTTCTTCATAATAGTACAATACAAATTTCCAGTCTCCATTCCTGTGTTTAAGTGATCTTTCATTTATCAGAGCTGTAAGCCTATCCATCTCTAACATGCCCAGTATTTTATTTAAACAGTCCTCTATTGTAGGTATATCAGGATTTCTCCATTTCTTTGCAAATGAAAATCTAGTCGCAGTCACTATGACATTTTACTGAATGGAAAATATATATGTATAAACAGACAAGTAAATTTATATAAGATATTTCACGAAGGAAGAAGATGAATGATGTAATTGGACATGTAAATTAAATTTAATGAAGGTTAAATGAAGGGTTATGGGGAGGAGATAATGCGATTGATACTAAAAATTATGAAATATGAGTATTACAATTCTGTCTAAATGAAATTGCAATAAAAATTACATGGAAAAAAACCCAACATATTGTAAGCAGCTTTGAGTCCCACGTTTGGAAGAAGGTGGGATATAAATGAATATAACAACAACAATTGATATGTAAGCAGGATGCTCTGCTTTGAGGCTCATCTTTTGATCCCACTCCTCAATACTGTTAGAAGACAACAGGGTATAGGCTCATGTCTTAAGATTTGTAGACATGCAACACAGGCACAGGTAATGCATACTGTTTCGCTTGAACTATTGAAAACGACCTGGCTTTCCTGATCCACTTTTGATTTATTCTTTGAGTGCCTTCCTTTGCATTTTGTCCTACTGGGGATTATTAATAAATATTAAGGACAACAAAAGTGGACCGGGTATTAAAAGACAGTTGGTTTTGTCATCTTTAATGAATTTTATTATTCTACGAGATACCCTCTTTCTTTGCTTTGCTTTGCGTTTCTGAACTCTGAACAAGCCTGCTAATAACCCTGGTGTAATTTTAAGAGGATTGGATGGCATAAAAATAGCCACACAAGAGAGGTTTACCTCCCCATCCCGGCAGCATGACCAAGTAATCTTGTTAGCTATTGCAAAGGCAGGAGAGGAACAAGAAGGAAGAAAACCTCAAGTGGAAAAGCTTTCCGTCTCAGCCGGTCCATATGATCCATTCTGTTGCACAACAAAGGTGCCCTTTAGAAGCGGCAGCATCACCAGCGGCTCTGGGAGAAACTGCTTTTCTGGGCGTTCATTCCAGAGTGTTGCTGAAAAGCCAAGATGTGTTTGGAAAGGGAGAAAGTTTAGAGAAGCAAGCATGGCCCGGTCAAAAAGAGGCGCATTCTTGCTGTTCAAAGCTAGGATGCAGAAGGCACTTGTCTTGCCAATACTTTCTCCGAATCCAGAGCCCATGCCATTCACACAGGGCTGGTCTGATTTCAACTGAATTGATTTCAATTGTTTCTCTCTAGGATTCGGGGATTTACATCACAGTTGACCTCTGCAGTGGGGGAGATTCTATTTTATCGTCAATTTTGAGTAGCAGTATATTAGGGTTTAGGCGTAGTGGGTTTTCGTGTTGGACCATGACTCTGGAGAACAGGGTTCGATTCCCAGCTTGACCATGAAACCCATTGGGTGACCCTAGGAAAGTCACACTCTCTCATCCTCAGGAGAAGGCAATGGCAAACCTCCTCT